CTGAAGCAAAAGAATAAAATTAACTCAAGTTAAACTGCGTTCAGCCAAGAACACATTCTATGATGTCGCAACTATGCCGACAAAAATATATAGGCACATGAAAATTTGATCAACAATTTAATTGAAACTGAATGTTTGCAGTTTAAAAATTCAAAAAATGTCAAATTCGAACCTTTTATCTTTGCCACCCCAGGCATATACAGAGCCTCCTGACCAAGCGTGTCGGAAACTTAAAGACATTTCAATTGAGTTGAAACTAAATAGAGCCTTTTCAATTTTGAATATTCTGTGAACAAAACTATATAACAAAAAAAGGTCCTTTAATCGACTGCATTACCCTTCCCTATCGCAACGGTAAAAAAAATTCAATTGTGTAAGCAAAATGAAAAAATCATTTTATATTTTTGAGCAAGTGCTTGGAAACAATTCAATGGTCTTATTAAACTGGAAAAGCTGATTCAATTTTTTTTGAACAAAATCTGAAAATTCTAAAAAACTGTGTTCTCGCGCTTTTCTCTGTAAGGTTCAGAGTGGTAATGTCCTATTTGTTGTCTTTAAGTGTTTGGCAACTCAATAAAACCAAAAGTAGCACCCCCGAGGAGATAAATATCAATTTTGTAAAACTAGATTTCAGCCAACGAAAAAAAAAGTTGAGGGCAAAACTGAGCTTATCTGGACAAAAAATTGGTCCGAGGGCAAATTCGAGGTCTTCAGCATGGAATTTAAATCAGTTCAACATAAAAAAACGCCTGATTTAGATAAGCTAATCATTGTTTGTGAACCAAATGACCTCATGCGTTTAAGTCCAAAAATTTTCTGCCAACAAACTAGCGACAACTAGTACAATCTTTAGAATAGGCGCTGTTTGCTCCTCAAAGCAAAAAGCCATGAAAACTGATCAAGTTCAAACGTCTGTTTCATAATTAAGAAATTGAAAGCTAGCCATAAAAATGTCCACTCGCGCTATTTTTGTCCACAACCCAAAAATAGCCACCGGTTTTCATTTAAGTAACGCTCTCAGTGTGCTGTTTGCGGTCATTCAGCGCGGGCAAATCCCACGGTTCCAGATGCGTTTGCGTAGCTTTGGTCTTCGATGTCTTGCTTTAGGCAAGAGATATGCAAGAGATAGATAGGTTGCTAGTGCAGCTTTGGTCGAGCCAGAAATATTTCGAGTTAGCATTTCGAAGCCAACCGGATTCGCACCTACCGACTTTAGAGCAAGCGTTGCGTGTTTTTGTTTCAAAAAATTCCCAAGTGAGTTGCTCATTTCCTTTTAAGGGGTAGCACATTTTCTTACAACGCCGAAAAAGTTGTTACCATGGGCCACTTTGTTGCGCCGCTTGAGGGTCGATTAAAACTCATCAAAAAAAATCTTTTTGGGCTAGTTTTCGATCCAAGATTGATTACGCATCGAAATTTCTTTCTCCGCTCTTACAAAATTGGTACCGTTATCGGACCAAATGACCAATGGAGTGCCATAACGGGTGATGCTTCTTTCGATTGCTACATTGCATGGTCTCGTGTTCATTGATGAAACAATCTCAACCTGAATATTCCCGTGATCTTGCTTCTCTGAGTTCCCCTTGATTAAGACCTAAGAAATTTAATTCATCGATTCCATTCCACAGTCTGTGCAATGTCATAGGCGGTAACCGAGCCTTTCCACATGAAAGGCTACCTCAATAGGTGTCATTGTTTCGGCTTTGCGCTTCCTCAGCTTTTAGCGCCTTTTCACTAACAAGGAGTGAAGATTCAAATGCAAGTTTTAGCGAATATTAGCTGGCTATTAGTCTAGAAACTGGTCTTGATCATGATGATGGATATCAAATACAAACAATTGTACGAGACTACGTTTTTTATCGTTGGTTTTTGGATTTTTGTGTCATTTTCATTAACATTTATTTGGCGAATTTGGCCCTTGGAATAGATCAGACTGGCATGAAAAAAAAAGCGGGGTAGAAGGCGAGTATTGTTTTGAAGTAATCCTTTAAACTAGAAGTAAAAAGTAGCTGTTTTCTGTTTTCAATCAGGCCGGCTGGGTTATTTTCATGACTTTAGTGTGGTAGTTATTTTTTTTCGTATTCATCCTAGACATATAAGCTCTCGCACGATGAAGGTTCCGGAAGCAAATGTGCGTTAAGATTTGTTGCTGTTACGGTAGTGAAAACCAAAAAATTAAGTTCAAAAATTAAGGGCTGAGCGAACAAACATTAGAAGACTGTGTAGATGGACCGATGGCAAAATTTCGATAATTTTTGAATGACACAAAGAGCATTAGGTCAATCAAGAGAGAACTGAAAATTTTTAATCGTAAAATTGCCAGCTTTGAACAAACTGAAAAAAAAGTTAGCTGTTGTTACTCTACTCGGGAAGAGGGATGATTGAGACGAATTATATACAAAATCTCTAAATCTGTAAAAGATTATGTAGCAACTACGAATGCAACTATTACTTCTTGTTTAAACTCATGAGTTAAACGCATGAGTTAAGTTAATATTTCAAAGTCTATAGCTGATTTTCTAAGAAAAAAAAAAGAAAAAATTACCATTCCGAAAACCAAGAACAAACCTGTATGTGATCTGAATATTGCTGTGTTGTCGATTTCAGGCGCCATTTTTGTTGAAATTGTTATAGGAAAGTAACCATCTAAAAATTACCATCTTGGGAAAATGACAACCTAGATTGAAATATATGAAATATTTTAACTAATGCGTAGCCTGGTTACTAATTGTTTAAAGCCAACCTCGAACTACGCGGAATCTTTAGTTTGACTCGCATTTTCTACCCGCCATATACAACTATTATATCTTTTACTTCTCAACCACATCAATCATTTTATACAGCAGCAGACGACGAAAATTCTTCCAAAATTTTGTTGTATAATTTAGTTGTTGTTTTTCAAGACTATTATCCTCTTAGCTTTAATTGTAAGAGAAGTTGCATAGAAGCAACTGTTTACGGTGAATTTCGCCGGTGGCGATCCCACTAGAACCTTTTTTGGGCACATTATACAAAATTTCGTTGAAATTGAATTAAACTGCGTACTCGTGGTCGGTCCTAAGACACAAGTTGGAATTTTTTAGTGTTCAAGCTCCGGCCGTATATTTGTTTCAATTTCTGAATATTTTTAAGGTCTAAATTACATACGTTTTTTTTCGACTCTTGCAGTTTTACTAGCGTGTGCTTCTGCAAAAAAGGGTGGAGATTAAGGATCGTCTTGTTGAGGTACAAATTGTGAGATTATAAAGGTGCCCCCGATAAAAAATGTTAATAGGTTTACTGTACGCGTAGTGGTTGAATTTGTACACTTCTGGACGATTCGAAAAAACATGATATAATTTTTGTCTTTATTCTGAGAATAAAAGGCAATTTCAAAGTTTAATTTGAAAAAAACAGTGCAATTTAGATGGCCGTCGCGCTCAATTAGCTTTAGAAACGAGAGTGCAGCTTTTTCTGCAATTCATTATACCCGATCAAAAACTTTCCGAAAAAAGTTGCTCGGAGAGGGCCTTGCTTCAAGTCATTTAGACGAGATGCGTATTTGCGTATTAGCTGGTTGCCTATGGTAATTAGCCTCACTCCTTTGTATATCTTTAAAAGGTTGAGAAGATTTGCGCCAAAAGAATTAAGGTCACAGGGGCTTAGGCATTTTTCCTTCTCTAATGAGGTTTATCAGCTCAGCAAGCATTTTCAGAAAAATAAGTCCTGCACTGCCATTCGGTTTACCAACATGATCTTTAAAAATTTAGGCAAAGTTTCATCAGGACTTGCTCCTGATCCGTTCGGATAGGACCTTAAATCTTTGTATAGACCGAGTTCGGATATGAAAAAAACATGTAGAAGTTTTGGATTTAGAGAGCCATTTTCGGCTCGCTAAGGGTGCTTAGACAGCTTTTTTATAGTTATCAGATGAAAAAGGACCAATCTTGCCATCCAAAGCAGCAAGTTTGAATCCTGCCTTTATATTTCTTTCATCGAGCTTATATCTTATTAGCTTTATTCTCTGTCCGATATGACACAGAGGCAGGCTTGAAGATTGTTGGTGAGGTTTTGAAAGGAAAAGAGTATTTGATCGAGTTTTTTCATTCAACAAAGAGCGCATGGTTGTGGTTTGTTTGCGTGCGTCCATTTCTTTTTGGTTGCTCCAAAAAAAAACAAAGAGAGAGTAGCTCCGAAAATTTTTTTTAAAAAAAGCTATTTTTTAACATCCTCTACATTGAAGAAGACGTTTTTTTTTGTCCTGAAGACTTTCAGTCAAGGGAACAAGCGAGTCTTCTGGTACTCATTTGAGGTGACTGTATTAGCATAATTGTCCAGCACTAAATCATAACATAGTTTTGCTTTAATGACAGATTTTAAATCGACACAAAAAAAATCATTGAGTTGCTAATACAAATATTTACACAACTGAGATGGTACCAACAAGAAAAACAATCTTATCTAATGCAATTCATCAGTCCCGAAGGTCTTAAACAACCTTTGTTAGTGAAATTTTTTTTGTTGTTTTTTCTTAATTTGGACACAAACGCACATAAAAGAAGAAAAAAAGAATTTTGTTTGGACTCTGGGAGACTGAACTAGCCCATGATAAAAGACAATTAAAATAAATATTAAACTCAAAGTAAAAAAATTGAAAACAAGGAACACACTTACCCAAGCTCAACAGTTCCAGCAGTGTTCCACCGGTCTCTTGAAGCCAGTTACATTTCCACTTTCCCCTCAGAAAGCCACTAGACACACCTGTCTCTAAAACCCTTTAAAGGTCGCTTTACAAACAGGCACACATATGAAACATAGCACATCTATTCAATAAGTTTATCACTAGTTTATTGGATTGTTTCGACAAAAGTTATCGTTTATAATGGTTTTTACCCTAAAATAATTGAGTAGAAATACTCTATAATCAATTTAATAGTCTGAGTTTTACATCCGTAATCCATTATAAGGAATTCTTTTTTCTCGGAATTCCAGTATAAACGGATATTATCTTTTATTTTTAGCTGCGGGAATGAACTTCAGTTATTTGGACGAACTGGGAAATAATCAACATTGTATATTGTTCACGTCAGAACCGCATGTTCTGGAGCAAATTCAAAATCATCATTCTGAGTTTCGTCACATGAAACTTTCTGTGTGTCTAAGATCAACAAACGAGATAGCCAAACTTGCTTGTGATTGGGCCAGCTTTGATTTGAGCAGAAAGAATAGGTACATTGAATGCAAGTCTGGTAATTACTTTTTTGGCGAGAAGCCCGACATTAATCATGTATCGCTCAAATCCAGTCCAGGCTCGGATCCGGTGTCTAGTTTTATTGAGGAGTGTGTTTCTACAATTAAAAACTATGCATATAAGTCAGCTTACCATTTTTTACCAGTAATTGTTGATTCTATCAAGGACGAAATATTAGAGCAAATTATAGCCGGCTTAACCGTAGAAAATCATCCGGCAAAAATCTTATGTAAAATATACCAGTGTACCTCAGAAGATTTTAATCAAATGCTTAATAGTAAACAGCCAACAGTGTGGTTTATCAAAGTCCTACAGGCAGAAGGCGCGGAATTCCCTGAGGTTGTTCTGCTTATGTGCAACATTTACGAACTGCAATTAGAAGCTGATCAACCTTTTTCACGCAAATTTTTTTCTGCCATTACAAGAGCATCGAGAAAAGTAGTTATTGTTCGAAGCACCGGTTATACTCAAAATGACAAAGAAGATGAAGAGAATTTACAAAGGACTAGAATCTGTGAATATTTACAAGAGAAGCTCGATTTATCACCAAGTTTTGCTCCCAAAATTGTCATCATTGGGATTATTAAAAAACTTATGGGACTCAAAAAAATATCGGAAGTCTATAAATTGAAGGTCGCTTGTCCAAAAATAAAATCCATTCAGCTTTTCGAGGGACCCAAGGGTGGACTGTTTTTCCAGCTTGACGACATCTGTAGAAAAGAAGATGTTAAAGAACTCCACAGTTTTGGAATTACAGACGTTATTATTATGGGTGACATTGAAAACTTCCATTTTTCAACTTTATCGTTTTTTCAGTTCACAGAAATTGCGTTGAAGTCTGACCAGATTTTCAATAAATTTAAAATATTTAATTATTACTGGTATTTTTATTATGACTATCTTGTTTATAATGCCAGTCTGAATACTTATCCCATTGAAAAAGCTCAAAAACTTGAACAATCAGCAATAGAAACTTTTTTGGCAGGCAAAACTGGTATCCCAACATCTGGACCCAGCAGCAAATGGGAGAATTGGAAAGAAAAAGCAACTGAGCTGTATCGTTCCAAGAGACCTTTTGATGCATTTAAAGCGTACAAAAACAGTGTTTTTTTTCTAGACCGAGAGAAAGAGGATCGCATCAAGAAAGGAGAGTTTGAAGCGGCCATTACAGATGAGAAAGAAATGGCAAAGTTAAAGTCAAACCTTAGCAAAATGTGTATAAGTTGTTTAGTGGAAGAAGATCATTCTGACGAGCAATTTGAACTCGAACATTCTTTTGAATCTTGTATCCTCGAAGCACTTTCATGCGCTTCCAGCGCAATCGATTTACACCCCTACTGGGCTAAAGGGTACGAACGATTAAAAGAAGTTCAACAGATGATAAATCATAGGGATGAAACAGGAAACAATCAATTTGAAAATATCATTATTTCTCTTCAAAAACTGATAGAACAAGATGTGGTACGGGGAGTTTTACATGGTTTACGAGGTCAAAAGATTGAATTTCCAGAAAATGTCAACGTTCTCCTGCAACTGATGGAAATTGAGGAGAAACGGCAGGAATACGTAAAAGGACTCGGGCGTCTGCAACTGCAAAATATGATTGATCTTCGAATAATATTGGCCGATAGCTTCTCGAATTTAGCGCTGGAAAGTTTCACAGCAATAAAAAAAGCTGAGCCCACTGCGACAGACAGAATATTTTTTATTCAACGAAGTGCACGTAAAATTAATGAGTGTACAGCTCGTTATGCACTGGAATCGTTGGAATGGAATCCGGGACAGGATCAGAGCAGACAAATCCTAAGCATGGCTCTGTCGGCGTTGTCGGATTGGTTGAATGAGTACGAAGCACTTCTCACAACAATAGGACAGGAAAAGTTCTACCAATCATTGATTGAAGAAATTCGCACGGAAATTTCACTGAGCCAAGTCTCCATCAGTGCTACAAAGGAGACACAAGTTCTATTGAATATACCAGAAAAACAATTACAAAAAGTGTCTATGGGGAAAAAATTCAATATATGCATACATAGACTCAAAAATCAGCTAACAAGATTGCTTTCTTTATTGCGTTCTTTAATGGTTGAAAATGTTGTCAGACTTTGGGGTTATTTTGGTTTTAATTAGTGTTTGATCAGCCACCTTCTCCTTCTTACTTTAACAACTGATTCTTTTGAAAGACCGTATAGTTCAATTCATTTTTTAAAAGTTTGTAATTATTTGTATTTGAAACTCCAATTTAGCTATATCTCAGAAATCTTTTCTGTAGAAGAATAAACTTAGAAAAATCAAACATATGCGATATTTTTTATAACATTGAATTTGTATTTTAGAGAGACGCCAAAAATAATGTATGTTGTTGATAGAAGTAACTGCTGTTCTCGGATACTTTTGTATCAAACAATTTTTTGTTCCGACTTTCGAAGAAAATGAAGAAATATTGACGCTTGGGGTGTTTTTTCATTCAGTCAATCTTAAAGTCATTTTCATTCGTTCAAGCGTTTTTGACTAAAATTAGATGAGAAATATATAATTGTCCGAATTTAAATTATAAATATTTCCTATGATATTTTTTCGTAAAGTTATGGGGGTTTGAAAATAGCTAATTTGGCCAATTTGGGAATTATTAACGGGCGAGCGATATATTGCATTCTTATAACACGCAGAAGCGGCAAAATTAGTCGGTCCAAATTTAATCCAGGCATGTCATTTGGTCTTTTATTTCGAAAAGTAGAGGCTAAATTTAACCCTTTGCTCTTAATATAGCCTGTGGGGGGGTATAGCGAAATGGAGAGGGGCAAGAAAAAAATAATTATACTTTTTTGATTATATCATTTTATCAAGCAAAAGCTATTTGATTGGTTTTGAAGTGCAGTTAAAAGATTGAGGGCTTCGCCCTGATAAACCCGTAGCCTTGTAAGGTTTTATTACTATGCAAGCAGATAGAGTTAATATTCGGACAGGATTTTTTCAGGTTAAAAGGTGTCTAACTAAATCACCATCTCATTTTGGGTGATTACGACAATCAAATCACCGGTCTATCTGGTGTGTTTGATAGCTCAGATTTTTTCATGAGAAAATTTTTTTGCTTAACTGGTAACCAGTATTCTCGGCTGTTGCCTCTTCATGAAAATTTGGTTTTGAAATAAATTTTTTTTGAGGACGAACCCAAACATATGTGATAACTTTGGTAGATTTAAATTATTTGACATTTTCAAGATTTTTCAATTTAGCGGCTTTCGTATCAATTTTGTGGCTATATAGTGTGTGTGGAAAGGCAAGATGAGGTACAAAACTCTATTTCAACTCTGTGTTAAAAACTCTTGAATACCAAAATTGTTCTCTCATTTCAAGCACATCAGTTAAACAGCCTCAAATAAAAAGCGAATGGTTCTCCAACTATCCAACTAAAAAATTTAGTAATTTTTATCCAAGAAAGAAAACTTTGTTTCAATTTTTCAATGGTGTTTATTAGGCATTTCAAAACAGATTTAAAATGAAAGTATTTTCAAGTTTTTGACATTGTCTCAGCCCCGCAAACTGCTTCGATTACTTTTCGTTTATTGACAGAAAGCAATTAATTTTTATTGACAGAAAGCAAATCAACTTTCTTTGTAATCCATAGAGGCAACCTCCACAAATATGGCTCTATTTAAGCACTTTCGCACTGACGAAAATGGATTAAGATGATAGAAATCGCGTTTTATAGAGGTAACATGCAGATAGAATGGACCCGATAGAAATGGACCCTATGGTCTCAGGTTTGTCGATTTACATCGGATTTTAACGTTTTTTTTATTGTCGTAAGAAAATTGATTTTATTGTATACCAAAACTGTTTAAATCGTTTAACATCGGTTTTTGCAAGACACTTATAATCATGAAAATCTCTTTACAATCAATTTAAATTGCTTGTTTATTGAGCCGCGAAAACCTCCAATTTTGTAGCCTTATTACTCTTGCGATTAGCAAATGTAATAAATTTGGGACATAGACGTTTTGTCGAATTAACAATTTGCTCAACAAAATCACAGGATTCAGTTGCTGTATTTGGTATCTTGGTGCATAAGGAAAATGATTTTCCCAACGTCCTCGACATATTTAGTCTGTAGGTGACGAGACGAATACGCCTAGGACGGCAAAAGTCCCTAGTTCTAAGCTGACCAGGACCTGAATCTTTCCAAACAGGAAAAATTCCGTTTAACAAAAGGTCGGCTGCTTATTTTTGCTCGCTTGTTTTTTTACTGTTTGCAATTTTCATTGTATTTGCTCTTAGTGTTTTAATTTACGAGTGCATTTTGCAGTTTAGTACTATCCTTGAAAAAAATTGTACTATCATTGACTTTGTTCAGTTTTTCCGATTTAAAAACTCATTTAGGTCGTCCAAATGATTTCGGCTGATACTTTAACGTCTTAATGACCTGATTTTGGATGGTTTCAAGGAAAGCGGTTTTTTATGGTCCCCTCCAGATTGCACGGAAAGCTAAAATGTTGTGAGTTTTGTCACCTCAATTTCTCCTCGATTTTGTCGCCTCAATTGCCCCTCGATAATTGATTACTTTCGAATTGTTAGTGAAATTATTCGATTGTGTTCCTGGACGCGTATTCCCCAAATAGAACATCATTACAGGCAAGATCGTTTATTATGAAGTTTTCTTAGTTCTGGTTTTTTCGCCTCTGTACATTACTATCAAGTTTAGTTTAATATAAAGCTTAACTCAAATTTTGTTTAGAAAAATTGCTAGTACTACTGTGATTTACTGTCACTTGATAAAGAAATTTTTACTGCAAACGTTACTATTTTGATAATAAAATCTCAAACTCGGTCTCCATCCTCTTTTTTTTTCAGTGCGAGTCAGCCGGTAGAATTACTGGAAAACAGATAGTTAAAACTGATATTGTGAGCTGATAGCTATTAATAATTCAATCGATCAAAAAATTCAAAAATATCTAATAGAACGCAGTTGCGTTTTGTATTCTGAGCAACAATTCTGGGCAACAAATAACAGAAGGTGTTTGTCAGTTTAAAGTGAATTTCAATTACTTTAATAAAAAGCAAATCACAAAACGGTGAATTTTTTCTGCATCTGAAATAAAATTTGAAAAAAAAGATGATAGTTGAAGTATCCGTTATAGAAGAAAGCTTCAAAAGAAAATAAAGTTAGCATAAAAATGAACACACGACTACTAAGCAGCTCACACAGGACTACTAAGCGAACATACGACTACCAAGCTAACACACGACTACTATGCTAACACACGACTACTAAGCAATTATGCGACTACTAAGCTAACGCATGACTACTACGCCAGCACACAACTACTAAGCTAACACGCGAATACTAAGCAAACACACGACTACTAAGCTGACACACGACTACTAAGCTAACACACGACTACTATGCTAACACACGACTACTAAGCAATTATGCGACTACTAAGCTAACGCATGACTACTACGCCAGCACACAACTACTAAGCTAACACGCGAATACTAAGCAAACACACGACTACTAAGCTGACACACGACTACTAAGCGAACATACGACTACCAAGCTAACACACGACTACTATGCTAACACACGACTACTAAGCAATTATGCGACTACTAAGCTAACGCATGACTACTACGCCAGCACACAACTACTAAGCTAACACGCGAATACTAAGCAAACACACGACTACTAAGCAGCTCACACAGGACTACTAAGCGAACATACGACTACCAAGCTAACACACGACTACTATGCTAACACACGACTACTAAGCAATTATGCGACTACTAAGCTAACGCATGACTACTACGCCAGCACACAACTACTAAGCTAACACGCGAATACTAAGCAAACACACGACTACTAAGCTGACACACGACTACTAAGCTAACACACGACTACCAAGCTAACACACGACTACTATGCTAACACACGACTACTAAGCAATTATGCGACTACTAAGCTAACGCATGACTACTACGCCAGCACACAACTACTAAGCTAACACGCAAATACTAAGCAAACACACGACTACTAAGCTGACACACGACTACTAAGCGAACATACGACTACCAAGCTAACACACGACTACTATGCTAACACACGACTACTAAGCAATTATGCGACTACTAAGCTAACGCATGACTACTACGCCAGCACACAACTACTAAGCTAACACGCGAATACTAAGCAAACACACGACTACTAAGCTGACACACGACTACTAAGCTAACACACGACTACTATGCTATCACAAAATTACTAAGATAACACACGACTTTCGCTGATGCAACCGGCCTCTTTTGCTAAAAATGAGCTAATAAACTGGCAAAACTAGCCATGGTCTAATTTTAACATTTCCGAATAATTCAAATAGTTATATTTTTTATTGGATGATCAAAATGAACACTTTGGATATAAAAGCTGGCCTCTCAAGTTTCCACTTGAAAAACTGAAAAGAAAAATTAAGGATGGACTCGATGTTAAGAGTGGCAAACAAGTTCTGCACGACATTCCATTTCAACGTTTAGTTTCGACTAGAAAGAAAACTTACCAAAAAATTATTAAAAAATACAGGTAACCAATTCATGACCGTAAAAACTACAGGAAGCGTAGGTTCTCATTTTACTATAAGCCATAGAATGGCCATGACTGAGAGTTAGTTTCACCAAGATGTAAGATTCTTGACATGGAGAGCCAAGCACCTTCCGAGCTTTTTAAAACCAAGGGGTTCAACCCTTACTTTAACCTCATAGGATCCATAGTGCTAAAAAGCATTGCAGCGGTTGCCATGCAAGGCAACTTCGGGAAAACCCATTTCAAGTAAATTTTTTTTTAAATAACCATCGAGACATGTTCCCTCGCCTGATCCCACTAACACAGCTGAGTGATCAAAAATTTCTTGATCCCTAGACCTGTGAGATAACTGCTGAACACGCTAAGTTCCATGGCTTCCAAAACCGATCTGAACTTGACAAGCGCAATGCGAAAACTTCGCGTGATCCTGAAGGTTTACAATTGCCTGCTCTCTAAGGTTCGCACTTAAGTCTCTAAGCGCAAGGCAAAGCGGCGTGTGACAACGTCGGCAGCCAAAGCCTCATTTGATGTACTGCTAGTGCCATATTGGAAGCAAGTGATCCAATACGCGCTGGTAACAGGAAGTACAAAAACCAGCTCAACAGCC